AAGCACATGATGGTGACAACCAGCACTTTAAGCATGGCGGTAGTTCTGAATAGTTGCCGCTAAGGCAGACTGAGTTAAATACTGTGCAGAAACCTTTCCCAAACTGGTGGCCTTGCAGATGTTTTGAACCGCCACTGCCAGTATTCCTGCCCATTGACCATGCTGGCTGGGCCCATTGCTCTTCAACATCTTTATTAATGATCTGCATGAAGAAGTACAAGGAAAGATAATCAGATTTGCAGACAATACAGAACTGGGTGGAATAGCAAACAGCCTGGAAGACAGAACGGAGATTCAGAGTGATCTTGATAAACCTGAACACTGGGTTGAAAGCAACAGAATGAGATTAAATAAGGACAAGGGCCAAGTCCTCCACCTAGGAAAAAGAAACCAAATGCATCAGTACAAGATGGAGAATACATGGCTCAACAAAACTGAAAAAGGAAAAGACCTTGGAGCAATTGTGGATAACAGCTAAACATGAGCCAACAATGCCATGCGGCCTCCAAAACAACAAATGCTATTTTGGGATGCATTAATAGAAGTATTACTTCCAAATCATGAGAAGTAGTAGTTCCCCTATGCTCTTCACTAGTCAGACTCCATCTGGAATACTGTGCCCACTTCTGGGCACCAAGATTTAAGAAAGATGCAGAAAAATTAGAAAGGGGCCAGAGGAGGACAACAAAAATGATCCAGGGTTTGGAAACATTGCCCTATGAGGAGACTGAGAGAACTGGGCATGCCTTGAGAAGAAAAGACTGAAGGGGGACGTGATATCCTCTATAAAGTACTTCAAAGACTGTCACTAAGAGGAAGGTTAAGATCTCTTCTTGCTGATACCAGAGTGTAGGACATGGAATAATCAAGTCAGGTTGTGAGAATAAATAATCAAATCAAGTTACAAGAATAAATCCTGTCAGACTAATTTAATCTCATTTTTTGACTGGGTAACCTCCCAAATAGACAGTGGAAACACTGTGGACATAATCTACCTAGACTTTAGCAAAGCTTTTGACATAGTGCCCCACATCATCCTGATAAGCAAACTAGCAAAAACTGGACTAGATGGAGAAACTATTAGGTGGATCCAGAATTGGCTGTTAAATTGGACACAAAGAGTACTCATAAATGGCACCTTCTCAAACTGGATGGAGGTAACTAGTGGGGCACCTCAGGGTTCAGTACTAGACCCAGCGCTCTTCAGCATCTTTATTAATGATTTAGATGTGGAAGTACAAAGAACTTTAACCTTGAGAAGACTGAGGGGGGACATGATCTCACTTTAAAAATACCTGAAAGACTGTCACAAAGTGAAAACTCTCTTCTCACTCATACCAGACTGTAGGACATGAAGTAATCCACTCAAGTTGAGACAAAACAGATTCTGGCTAGATATCAGAAAGTTTCCTCACTGTCAGAGCAATATGTCTTTTGCCTAGAGAGGTGGTGGGCTCTCCCACACTAAAGACATTCAAGGTGAAAGTGGACAGCCATCTGAGTGGGAAGGTGTAACTTGGTGTCCTGCAACATCAGGGGGTTGGACCTGATGGCCTTCACGGCCCCTTCCAACTCTACTATCCTATGATTCTATGATCTCTTCCCTTGCTGCACCAGAAGCTAATATTGGTATAATACAGGCTCTGGCACCATATCCTAAAAGACTAAGCACAGCACCATGTTCTAATCCATGGCTATGACTGACCCCGGAGCATTGCTGCACAGACATACATTTTGCAATACAGGCAGTCTCTGGGTTATGAACTAGTTCTGTTCCTGAGAAAATAAAAATGCATCTTTAAGTTGAATTTGTACGTAAGTGGAATCACATATAGTTGGCAGTCCACATGTGTGGTGATCAGGTCCCCCTTGTAAGTGGAAAAAACATGAATATTTCTAGCCTGCCCTCACTTCCACTCAAACTCATCAGGGCTGCCTCTTTGCAGCAAGGAAATGCTGAAGAGATTTCCCTCTCAGATGGGCGGGGCAGGAAGGTTTGCTTTGCATGCCTCCCTCTCTGCTCTTTCACTTAGTCTCTCTATGGTGATGTTTTGGGGGTCCTCCCGCTCTTCTCTGTCACTTCCTCTCTCTCTCTATGGTGATTCTTTAGAGACCCTCACTTCTCTTTCATTTCTTGTATCTCCTGCATTATTATTTTTTTTTAGATTATTAGCCTTTGTGGCAGTCTATTCATAAGTATGAGTTGCTTGTAACTTGGATGTTTGTAACTCGGAGACTGCCTATGTAGAAGAGGCACAAGGAAAGATGCTGTGCTCTCTTGGTGTGTGTTTCTTGGGGATCTTATCTGGATTATTTATGACAGCAGTAGTTGTCCACGGTTGATTTTATCTACCATGGTTGATTTTATCTATCATTTTACTTTTTTTTTTTTAATACTGGTGAAGTGTGTAGCAACGGATATGAAAACAATTAATAAAATCCGTTGACAGGATCAAGAAACCAGGTAATTTATCATTATAGATTTTAATGAGGCTTGTAATTTTGTAATAAATATACAATACTTTAAAGACTCTAGAGTTATAAAAGTGAAAATTTATCTGACTAGGGTGAAGAAAGTGTAAGGAACAGGATATGGAAACTTTTCAAGTAAAAGGATGGCTGCACATGACGTGGCCAAGAAGCAGATGAGATTGTTAGAATGAGGGAGGGCATTCATTTAAAAGTGAAAACCAGGCAGGTAGGTAGGCATTTAACATAAAGATGACGCTGCTGGATTACTCTTGTGAGTGGGAGGTTGATCTGTGTTTTATAGAGAAACTTCAATTTCACACCTTGGTTTCATATCTCCGTTGCTATTTGTGGGAGTGCTATCATTAAAACCAGAGGCTGCTTTTGGGATGCAGTTGCCCTTGCCAACGTTCTTGTTCTTTTGGAGGAAAAATATGCTGCAATTACCATTGTCTGTGGGGAGGGGGTTCCTCTTCACAGGCCCTGTGTGGAGGATGGGGACGGCGAGGCTCTGATGGGGGGCCATTTACCATAGTGATGGGCAGGGGAAGATAGGACATTGGGTGAGAGCTAGCCTGGTAAGGGGAACGTGGCCCAGGCTGTTAACAACTGAGCCATGTTCTGACCTTGATCCCAACTGCAGGCTCTGTGGTTGCCCTTTCAGCCTGTCTTTGGGTCTCCTGGAGCTGCCTTTGAATGCCAGACTGGTGCATGATAAGACCTCCCACATCCATGATTTAATAGTGGAGGAGGCACCTGCTCTGGCTTGCATAACTGAGACCTTGGGAAGTGAATCTGGGGGAGGGGTTAGTATCTCCCAGCCCTGCCTACTTGGGTACTTAGTACAGCATCAAGGTAGATTGGAAGACTGGGGAGGTCTATAAAATTCTGTCTCGCTCTCCAGGTTCCCTCTCTGTCTGATCCCTAATCCAAAGTGTTTGCATCTTGTGTTGGGCCACTGTGACAGACTGGGGACTCTGCTGGTGTACTGTCCACCCCGCAACCCAACAGTCTCCCTACCTGAACTGACAGAGGTTCTCTCAGTGGCAATATTGAAGTCCTCCAGGCAGTTGGACCTGGGGGATCCAGCTGATTTCCAGAGGGCTTTGGGGGATTTTCCAGCTGATATGGCTGGCGGTCCTGTCAAATCCATGGTTGCTCTCTGGAATACAGAGATGACCTGGGTGGTTGACACAATCACTTCTCAGCATTCTCACTGTAGTAGAGGTCATATGGCTCCACGGTATACCCCAAAGCTGAGAGTGGTGAAACAATTCAGGAACCAGCTTGAGTGCAGATGGAGGAAAGCTCCTAGTGAAGACAACTGAGTCCTAGTTTGTGCTTTCAGTCGAATATATTTAGAGGCAGTGAGAGCAGCAAGGAATAATATCTGACTGCTTCCATTCAATCTTCTATTTGTCACCCAGCGGAGCTCTCTAGGATTGTCCAGGGCCTTTTACATGCTGATCTTGGAATCATCTGAAGCTCACTGCAATATATGCACTAGGCACTTCCAGGACAAAATCTCTTGTATTTACCAGGACGTGGACTCCAGTGGTATAGCAGTTGAATCGAGTGAGATGTTCAGAGCACAGTCTGGTCTAGTTATGTTGGATGAGTTCCAGTTAATACAGCTCGAGTATGTTGAAAGTTGCTTGGACCGGTTTGTGCAATCATGCCCTTAATGGATCCTTGTTCCTTCTGGCTAATAAAAGGCAGTAGGGAGAGAACTGTTGGCTGGGCAAGGGAGGAATGGTTCTGGGCCACCTGAAACAAACTGAGGTGAGACCACTCCTGCCCCACACCTCCCTGGACTCAATAATTTTAGGCTGGTGGCAAATATCCCATTCCTGGGCAAAGTTCCTGAGTGTGCTGTGGCCAGCTAGCTCCAGGCACTCCTGGATGAGATTGATTATCTGGGTTCTTTTCAGTCAGGTTGTAGGCCTGATTTTGACATGAAAACAGCTTTGTTTGCTCTGTATGATGACCTATGCCAGGAGAGAGATGGGGAGTATGAGCCTGTTGGTTCTCCTGGACCTCTCAGCAGCTCCCAATGCCATCAACCATGGTCTCCTTCTGGAGACACTGTCTGAGTTGGGAGTGAGTGGTACTGCATTGCAATGGTTCAACTCCTTCTTGGATGGTAGGCTCCAGAAGGAGGTACTTGAAGGATGCAGCTCTGCTCCTTGGATCCTCCAGTATGGCTCCCCAGGGGTCAGTCTTGTCTCCCATGTTGTTTAACATCTACATGGAACCACTGCGAGAGGGCATCTGGAGTCTTAGAGTACGCTGTCATCAATATGCTGATGACATGCAGCTCTATCTCTCCTTTTTATCTTCAGCAGGTGAGGCTGTGGATGTACTGAACCAGTCAGTGCCTGGATGCAACAATGGGCTGAATAAAAGCTAACAAACTGAAACTCAATCTGGACAAGACTGAGATGCTCTTGGCGGGTGGTTTTTTTGACTGGATGAGGGAATTCAACCTCTTCTGGACAGGGTTACACTCCCCTTGAAGGAGCAGGCTCGTAGCTTGCAGGTGCTCCTTGGGCCATCTTTGTCACTGGAGTTGCAGGTGGCTTCAGTGGCTCAGAGCACCTTCCACCAGTTTTGGATGGTGGCTCAGCTATACTGCTGTCTGGACAGAGATAGCCTGCAGGATTTATGTAGCAAGAGGCATGAGAAGTCTGTAACCCCAGGTGTCATCAGATACAAGCTTAAAGTTGGATGACAACCCACATTATTAGGGAAATAAGAGTTGGAGTGACTTTATAGAAGGTTGGACACCATGAAGCCATCAACCATGTTCAGCCTTCCATGGCCTTGGAGTGTAGCCTTCAGTACCCCTGTTGCCACTTCCATATTGCTAAAATTCAGTAGTTCAGCAACACAGAAAAGTGGCAGCTTGCCACCACTGTTCGGTGACAAACAGCTATGGAGTATCAAATTGAGCTTTCTTCCTCCAAGTTAAATATATCCCTTCCCAAGCAGTTTCCTGCAACTATGATTTTTTGGCTGCTGCAGGCAATGCAGAGAAAGAGGTGTGGCCCCCAGTGGAGTCTAGCAGCTGGGAATTGCCCCCAATTTTTAGTTGTCCACCCTGCTTTACAGACCTTGTGTAGTTTATAAGACTAGACTGTCTCAAGAAAGGGAAAGGTAGGCCAGAAGGAGAGGGCTGGTCCAGGAGAAGGAGTTGGGAAGGTAGCCACATAATATTATGAGGCTGGCAACTTATAGAAACACAGGCAGGAGGAGGCCAGTAATCCCCTCTCAGCAATCCATCAAGTGGGCTAGCAGGTTGCCCAGCCATGCCCAGCGATGGACAGAGAGCAGGTATGAGTACACTCTACTTTGTTGGGAGTTGTAATCAGTGCTGTAGTAACATCTGGACAAGTTGCCTGTAATGACTTATAGATGAGGATACACCCAGCTGGTGCAAAATAGCAATTGACTAGAACGGTAGTCAAGGGCTTCTTAGGATGCTGTAATACCATCTTCAATGGCTGCCAGTTTGTTTCCTGGATCAAATCAAGATGTGCAATTTGGCCTTTATACCCTTTAATGGCCCACTATCAGGGTACCTAAAGAACTGCTTGCTACTGGCACTGGTAAGAGCACCATCTCTATCCCTAGGGAGGTCACATGGCATCTTCATTTCTTCTCTTTTGGACAACCGGGTTTCTCCTGTCCTCTTGAGCTTTTAATTGTATTTATATCCTGCTTTTAAAAAGTCAGACCAATCACATTCATTTATTGTTTGTTTCTGTTGTTTTTCATTTTTATGTAGTTTTGTTGATGTATTGTCCAGTTTTGTTAGTTGCCTTGAGGTCCATAACAAATAAGTGGCAACAGCCTCCATGAGAAAGTTTCAGTTGTTGTTTAATCACTCTGCAACAAGAGGGTTATCTTGAGCTGCCTGATAAAACTGTAATGTCATGCTCTTTATCTGTCAAGCAAAATATTTCTGTTGCTATTCTTGATGTTGCCTGCAAACCCCATTCATGTTAATAGAATATTAAAACAATTCGTAGGTAGGTAAAATTAGCAATCCCACATTAGGGGTGCAGTCACTGTTCTCGCCAAACCATATTTTTTCATGATCACGAATCCAGCACTTAAATATACACAGCAGTGGGCTGAAAACAAGCTGCTCATTTCTGCTGCTGGCATTTCCAGTGGACCAGAGCAATCATAGTTGCTAAAGTAGGTCCAATTTTTATTGATTCACAATAAGCTTTCATTATAGTATGGAGTCTTGTTGCAATTTCAAGGTGTAGCATTTCAATTTGTATTCACAATGCTCAAACACAAGGAGATGTATTGTAAAATCTAATACTGAAGGTTTTGTCCCTTGGAAGAATTGCTCTGTGAAGATTTAATTCATTTGCTCTCACAGTAGTGACAGACTGAGTACACATCTTTTGAATTGGACACCATCCTCCAAGCAAAAGCTGCTTTTCACCAAGTTGCCATTTGGAAAAAAAAGGCACTATGAAGGAGCAGAGTTGGAATGATGGATTCCTTTAGTTTTGAATCACAACTTCCATGTATTTTGAAAAAGCAAAGGTGATAATCGTATTTATTATGGTTTGCAGAGCTTCCATCCAACCAGAAACTGGTTTCATGTGAACTTTATTGTCATTAAAATTAGCATAGCATACTAGAGCTCTTGGGAAATATGTAGGCACATGTAATCATGGCAAATTGAACCTTAATGGTCAGTCTGATGCAAAGCACCCTTTCACACTCTCTGGGCATTTATTCTCTGGGCAATATTCAGCTCCTGATCAGAGTTTGCGACATAACGTCTGAACCCAACTACTATAGGTTAGTTGTGAGCTAGTTGTGAGCTGCCTTGGAGCTCCCTCCCCCTTCCTCCTCGGAACACCTGCCACGCCGCGCTGTCATCGCTGCCGCTGCCGGCGGACCTGAGGCGCACCGCCAAGCCGGGGGCCAGCTGACGCCGCTCCCACAGCCACCGCTGGGCCACCCCGGGGACGGAGGATGCCAGGGCCACGCCAGGGCCGCCATCGACGTTGGGGAGGTGGGCGCCGCCATCTCGCCACCGGGCGGGTTTCCGCGCCCCTCCCTGCCCCCCCCCCGCCAGCGTCGGTGAGAACAACGCCAGATTGGGGTGGGGCGCGCAGGCGGGTGCTGGCTTAACCCTCCGGATGCGGCCTGGGCCCGGTGGCCTCTGGCTGGTGGCCAAAGGGCGGTCACCGCCGTTTGTGGCCGTGCGGGGCTGGGCTGGCGGGGGACTAGGTCGGTGGGTGGAATTTTAATTTTGTATCGGGGGGGAGATGGCGAGTTTTTTTGATTGTTTTAAAGTTTTATTGTATTTTAATTTGTTTTTATGGAGTCGTCCCTGGCCATGTCGACGCTTGAGTTTCCTGGGGAGCACGTGGGTGCCGCCATTGGGGTGGTCATGGGCAATGGACGTTACAGCGGTGGGGGCTTAACATGTCTGCGTAGAAGGAGGAGGGACAGATGGCTGACACCTGTCCCTCCTTCTGGTTCTGCCCCCAGCCAGAGGGTTCCAGGTAGTCTTGTCAGCCGCCCCTCGGGCCTGACGATGCTGCTGCTTAACGCCAGGTCAGTCCACAATAAATCTTCCCTTATCCATGACTTGATTGTGGATGAGGGGGCCGACCTGGCTTGCATAACAGAGACCTGGGCAGGGAGGGGGATGTCGCCCTCTCTCAAATGTGTCCGCATGGGTATCTGGTTCAGCACCGTCCATGCCTGGAGGGGAGGGGAGTCACTTTGGTTTATCAAGCCTCCATCTCCCTCACAGGACTTCCAGTCCCTTCGAGGCCAGGGCTGGAGTGCCTCTACTTGGTGTTGGGCGACTGAGACAGACTGGGGATTCTGTTGGTGTACCATGCACCCTTCTGCCCAACAGTCTCCCTGCCTGAGCTGACGGAGATCATCTCGGACCTGGTGTTGAGGACCCCCAGGATGTTGGTCCTGTGGGACTTCAATCTCCATGCCGAGACTGGTCTGACCGGGGCGGTTTAGGACTTCATGGCCTCCATGACGGCCATGGGGCTGTCTCAACATGTCACAGGCCCAACCCATGAACACAGACACACTCTGGACCTGGTTTTCTCGACGGGGCAGGAAGAGGGTGACCTGAGGGTGAGGAATTTATGCCTGACACCCCTGTCATGGTCAGATCACTTCCTGGTGAGGTTTGTGCTCGAGAGTGGCCTCTCCCTCTGTAAGGGTGCGGACTCGATTGTGTGGGTCTGCCCCCGGAGCCGGATATATCCGGACGGATTCCTGAAGGCCCTAGGGGAGTTTCCGGCTGACAAGACTGGTGCTCCTGTCGAGGCTCTGGTCGAACTGTGGAACGGGGAGATGACCAGGGCTGTTGACACGATCGCTCCCAAGCATCCTCTCCCACCGGGCAGAGCCCACTCTTCCCCTTGGTATACACCTGAATTGCGGGTGATGAAGCAGGCTGGGAGACGGCTAGAGCGTAGGTGGAGGAGATCACGGGATGAATCTGACCGAACACACTTAAGAGCCCATTATCGGGCCTTTGCTGTGGCAGTGAGGGCGGCGAAAAAGAAATTCTTTTCCGTTTCTATTGCCTCCTCAAAATGCCGTCCGGCAGAGTTTTTTCGAGTGGTACAAGGCCTGGTCCGCCCTGGCCCTAAGAAAGATCTGGTTTCACCCTCGAAGGCCTGCTGTGATGACTTTGCTAAGCATTTCAGGGAGAAAATCGCTCAGATTTGTTACGAGCTGGACTCTACTAGTGAATCAGAGGCTTCTGGGGAGATACCAATGTTGCCGTCTGGTCCAAAATTAATGGATGAATTTCAGTTATTGCGGCCTGATGATGTGGACAAGGTGCTTGGACGAGTACGTCCCACCACTTGCCTATTGTACCCTTGCCCATCTTGCTTAATAAACAACGCCAAGCACGGGATTGGGATCTGGATCTTGGAAATGGTTAACGCTTCTCTGAGGGAGGGTCGGGTACCTGCCCCTTTAAAGGAGGCGGTAGTCTGACCGGTCCTGAAGAAAGCATCACTGGATCCAGAGATGGCCACTAATTATAGACAAGTGGCCAACATCCCGTTTCTGGGCAAGGTGTTGGAGCGGGTGGTGGCGGGACAACTCCAAGCACTCTTGGATGAAACTGATTATGTGGACCCATTTCAGTCCGGCTTCAGACCCAGGTACGGTACTGAATCTGCCTTGGTCGCCCTGTATGATGACCTGTGCAGGGAGAAGGACAGGGGGAATGCGTCCCTGTTGGTTCTTCTGGACCTCTCAGCGGCTTTCGATACCATCGACCATGGTATCCTTCTGGATAGGCTAGCGGGATTGGGGGTTGGAGGCACTGCTTTGCAGTGGTTCCGCTCCTATATCAACGACCGATTCCAGAAGGTGGTGTTGGGGGACTATGGCTCTGCACCATGGCAGTTATGCCATGGAGTACCACAGGGGTCCATTTTGTCCCCTTTGCTGTTTAACATCTACATGGAACCGCTGGGAGAGGTCATCAGGAGGTGTGGGCTGCGGAATCATCAG